TATCTATCTATCTATCTATCTATCTATCTATCTATCTATCTATCTATCTATCTATTCTTGATATATTATTATAATGATACACAACTGTGAAGTATTCATGGATTTTATTCAATCGCCAGAGGCAAAATATTGAGAAAAAAAGTAGAAAGAACCTAAGGAACCACTGTAGAAATAAAAGTGGAGGGTATAGTTAGCATTATCCTCCCCCAACCCCCGCTTCACCCAAACTTATTGAATTTGCAAGAAGTTTAAACTTATCGGTAGTGCTAAAATAGGAGACTCTAAAACAGGAGACTCTAAAACAGGAGACTCTATTTTGTTTCCACGAATAAAAAGTAATCGTGGGGAGGAACTGTTCTAGAAGAGGGAGACGGCTTCAACGAAATCTTTCATAACACGAATTTGTTATGTGGGAGTTGCCAATTTAGCAGTAATGCTTGTGAAGACAACGGTGTTTTGTTACTATAAATAAACAAGTAATCGTCAGAGGGAATGAGAGGAAAGAATGGGGAGGGGTTGGGATAACGGCTTAGGTGGGGAGGAGGTGTATTTGAATGAGATATATCCTCTTAACAATAGTTCAAAACCTCCTCCTCCTCCTCCTCCCACGCTGTATTTCAGTAGATCTAATTCTGATCTTTCACGCTGACAGTTTTATTATATCCCTTCTTTTTTTGTCTCTGGTTTTGTTACCTTTTGATGTCCTTACCACAAACCTTTCGTTAAAAGAACCGACCATAATAATTATGTGTCGTATCAGCTGTTGAGTCCAGCGACTCTCTCATTTTGCTGCTCAAAACCCCTTCCTCGTTCGCCTGCTGCTTCCAATCTCCCTCACCTCTTTTGAGATTCACCCCTCATTCAGAAACCTCTCATCAACGAATGGGTCCTGGCATTACGGGTGTTTCCGATATGACTCCAACTGAAATAATAATATGCAATTACACGGCTTGAGCTAATGTTATAAAGACTTATTGAAAACTAGCAAGTTTTTGTTTGATAAGCTTTGCAAAGACACATTGCGTTATCAGGGGAACATTTCGGATGTGTAGAATTTGAGTAAATAATTCATGTCGATAATTGAATGCAAGCCAGCACAGGGAGTGAAAGATTTCGTCTCGTCTTTATTAGATCAGCAGATCTGCCAACTCTATAGTTCATTTGAGTACAGAAATTGGGGGCCTGAACTTTTCGTTCAATCCAGATGTATGACCAAATATTCTAGACACGATGTCAATATGTGAGTCGATGTGGAATCCATTTCGGTGACTAGCGAGACTCAATTAATGAATCAGCTGGCCTCGTGTGTCTGATAGAAATAATACGCGGATTACCCTGAGAGGGGAGAGAGGGATGATTTAAGGGAACGCGATATTGCTCTTTAGGAGTTGGAAAATACTCGCATGTCTGAACTTTACAGGAATTTTCTGGGCCAAGTTTTAGTTTTAGTGTTCCAAGGTGTGCTTGGTAATAGTTTCTGCAATGGGATATTTTGATCCCTTTCTGTTTCACCTTGGATATGTATCTATTTTTAGGCTATTTTTGATACAATATATCGAAATTTCTGAAAAGCAAGTTTTTGTGATCCAGACAGAAAAAACAACCCCATTAACTCGTTTCTGGTGTGTATGTTTGTACATGTTGTGTCTTTGTGTATGTGCACGTGAGAGAGATTAAGAGTGTGTGTGTG